CAAGAAATGAGAGATTTATTTATTTATGCAATCAATATGAGTGGTAAGAATATGTATTGCAACAGATACTAATTTTTTTTTTATCTATTCTTTTAACAACCAATCATGATATGATCGTGTGGACAACTGGAAATTCTGACTTCAGAATGCATAAACATATTGGAGCATAATACTAAAAGCAGAATTCAGAATGCATTGAACAGGAATGGGCGCGACCCATATCAAACACAACACTTGGAAGCCAGCATCCAATTTCGTGGTTTTCCGTATACACAATCACACAATCTTATTTTCATATAAAGACTACAACCATCTAGTTTTACTAAAATATATGTTTGTTTCTGTTCTTAATTCATAAATGCATTATGAATTGAGGAATGCTAGACACTAACGCCCTCTTTTTTTAAGCAAGTCACTTGTAAATGACATAATATTCAATCAACCCCTCTAAACTACAGACTAAAGTTTGGAATCATTTTGGAATCATTTTGGAAGCACTTGTTTAGGATGCGGAGTGAGGATAAAGTGTGTTCAATATTCTGTTTATCAAATAATGAAGCTTATACTGTATATGTGACATTAATTACGTTTTAAAACATATAATTTTAAACAAAAGCAAAAGTACCTCCCAAGCAATAGTTTGCTTACCAGTTGAAAGGTGAAGACCATAACAGAAATATAAATGCACTTAAATATGCAAAAATAAGTATTTTCAATATTTCACTGAAACCAGTAGCAGCCCAACAAATGTTATTTTTTATATCGACAGCCACCGGTTCCCATAGTGACATTTGTCTGAAGCTTCCTTGTCACATTGAGAGGGAAATGAGAGCATGACAAGTTTAAATGCAAATTTTATTAACATTTAAGCATCAGTATTAGATAAGAAGACATATTTCACATTCTTGTTACTGCAAACTATTTGGTCTTCACCTGGCAGCTTTGTTACAAAAATGACATATAATTCTGCTAATAACAATTAAATAGGTTAATGCTTCTTTGATTACATATCCCCAAAATTCGGATTTTACAGTCTCTTTTAATCAGTATAAAAAAAATTACCGTATAGACCTTTTTTCTATGATAACCACTTTTTCCAGGTATTATTGAACGAAATCTTCCGGTACTTGATTAACCAACATAATTCTTCTAAGTCTAATTCTGCCCTACCCTTGGATCATGGGAGCTCTGAAGAGTTGCTTTTTAAGTAAGACAGTCACAGTGTGCAAGAACTACATTTTCTTTGCCTTATGCTTTACTATCAGTTGCATAGTGCAAATGGACCAATTTTACAAGTAAACTATGACAAAATATCCCAGTTTCTTAAGCATTCAATCAGTTCCTATTTAAATTTCAGGCTAAACTTCTTTAGTCTCTCAATAAAGTGAAATGGTGATAAGCCTTGTTAATGGTACTAGTACAGAAACTCACCTACTTACAGAGTTGCAAACATTCACAGATACGAACAAAATCTTATGCATGTATAAATGTATGTATTACTGTACTTTATCATTACTGTATTAAAATTCATTAATCTGCATACTTTATGTTTTATGTAGTAGTTAAGTGTCTTTAGCCTAAATACTGTAGAGTACTGCACATGTATGTACAGTACTGTACAGTATTCTTTTTTACCTAAACACAACTTACAAACAATTCTACTTAAGAATGGACTTCTGAAACCTACCACAATATTAATTTGGGGAGTATCTGTATTCTAATTTACAAGTTCACTCTTACAGTTTTTGCACAGTATCTGGTACTTTTTTATTTTCAGTAAAGAGCTGGCTTTGATTATCAATGTACACTAAATGAAAATTATTTGGTATTCTCTATAATTTCCAATCCAAATTTTTATCATGGTTCTATCTCTTACTTTGAAAATTTCTTTTATATCTAATTTTTTTCTTATGAATTTCTTTTATTTTAATTTTATATATACATATATTTTCTATTTTTGTAGTTTCCTTATCATTTCTCTTTTACATCCACATTTGAGGATCTAACCTACCTTATATATCATATATTCAGTTTTTAATAGGTCGCCAAATAATCTCCCTTAAACCTTTCCTGTTTTTCTAGTGCTCATAAGCATCTTCATAACCAGTCATCACTTAGCCACATAGCAAATGCAACCAATAAAATCCATTTTAACTTTTCCTTAACGTTTCCTGCCAATCTGTTTCAGACAATTACATTTTGGACTTTCCTACTGCAAATGCGCTATTTCTAATCAAACCAATACTCAATTAGAGATTGTATGAAGCTAATGAAATCCAAATTACACTTCCCTCTAGTTTTTTTACCTTTCGAAAAAACATGCGGAACTCTGACTCTGCACTAGGGAGCTACGTGTAATAATCAGCTACCTGCTCTTTTTCATTTCATATTATACCCTGTACTTAGTACCAGTTTTACCTTGTGTCCCAATTATAACTTCGTATCCAACATGTTTCATAGAAATTTGCAGTTTCAAATACTCCTAGTGATAATCTATCTTGGCAAATTCAGTTTTTTTATTAATGACTCATTGGTCTTAATTCCCCTGCTCCAACCTCTCTGTGTCCACCCACATTCATAGGGACTAATTAGGACATAAATTGGAGCACATATCTTTAGTAACTTCAAGATCATTACTAACAGATTAGGGTATGTACTCTCAGAAGTTTACAGTAATAAAGTTTAGTCTGGGGTTGGAGTCCCCCAGTTATGAAAAGAGGGAAAAGGATTGCATTCAATATTTGGATATACTGGATTTGGTTAGGTTATTTCAGGGGGATTTGAAGGCAAAAACCCCAGTTAGAAATGGTTTCCAACTGGCATTTTATTGCACTTATATATTGGTATTTTTATTATATTACTCCATCACAAAACTTCAAATGTTCACACTCCCCCATTATTAATGAAAAAGGGAAAAAACTGAAATCGATAATGGTTTTCAATGGTATACTATATATTTTATAACATTTTGTATTTTTATATCACTCAGAATCTGCTTGTTTTGTAGTTCTTTCCTACTCAGAACCTCAAATCGTCCTGCTTTCCCCCATTAATGATGGCAGAAAGATGTTAAAATACCACAGGAACTACCAATTTCGCGAAATGAACATTAAAACCATCGAATACCAACAAAACCACTGGAAAACCATATTGTCAATGCAAAACCATATTGTCAATGCCACTTCATTTGGGATGTGAAAATGAAAAATTACTAATAAATATTTAAAATACTTATTATTTTCACATATTTAAAAAAAACTTTTCACTAAAAGGAATAAATTACTCAACGCAACCCCATCCCACATAAAGTCAGCTGCTTCCGAATATTCGAAATGATTCTAAATTGCTTTTGCCTTTTACCTGTCCTAACCTATTCCGCCAATTTCAGCATTCCAATCCTACTGAGGAAAGTTACCCTTACAATATACAAATCTAACCTCTATCTGCCATATTTATTGGCACAACGTGGATGTTCATGAATAAAAATATTACCTACCAATATGTTCTCTTAAGAACTAATTTGGTCCCAGACCTCACTGACAGTGCCTCACCTTATCTCGAAAGTGAGAAGTATGCTAATCAACAAAACATGGATATGATTAGTTTTATTTGTTTTTGGACTAAATCATTGTTTTCTCGTTGGTTTTGATGTGTTTTGAATTAATCTAATCATTGTTTTTGTCGGAAATCACTGGGGGTTTTTTTTGTGTGTGTTAGGCCAATAATGGTGGGCAGCATTGGGTATTTAAATAACCTAACCTAACCGAACTCAAATTTGAAGCCTTAAATGCTTTAACAGGGTGAATCCGGGTGCTTTTACGGCAGTGCGGCACATTTCAGGAGGTGGTGGTAACGCTGATTCCTCGGATAGGCTATGGAAGGGGTGCATAAAACGAATCTTAATCCAAATTATACTTCCTACTTATATTCTACAACGCTAACCAATAGCCAAAATAAGGGTAAACTAATTGAACCAGATCAATCATAGTAAGGCAAACGAACCGCGCTAAAAATGTGCTACCTGCTTCCTGGCAGAATATCCTGTCAAATTGTGATCGGTTTTACGTCACGGACCTCATCTTCAATTAAGGGCTAGGGCGGTGCCTTCTCGCGAAGGCCTTTGGTTTTGGCAACGCGACCTGTTGCCTTAGATGAATGCCCCCGTTCTAAGCTCAAACCGTGGCGCGCCTCGAAACCACGACCTGTCGAATCAAAGTCACGAGAGCTACCACCATGCCGCGGCGACCACAATATCCTGCCAAGGCTAGTTATAATAAACTTGTACTTACTCTTCCAGGATTTTTTATGAGAAACTGGTGTTTTATCCGAAAAGTAGGTCTGCCACTGGCCACTCTGTATCGAGGAAGGCGTCTTAGCTTCTCCATCAGCGTCATTTTCCTCCGAAGGGGGAGTGTTCCTTTCTATGTTTACATCAGCTGAGGCAGCCATCATCACCACTGTCTGTCAGTCCCGTCTTCTTCTTCCTCTTCCTTTTTTCTTTGGGAAATGGCGATTCTCAAAGAAATACTAGACAAATAACGGGACTATTTAATATAATGAGAAATTTTTTCTTACTTGATTCGAAATTATATCAACAAAATGTGATTTTACTCATAACTATATTGTAATATATTTATTTGAACACATTGTGCTATTAAGTCATAAGTATCCATATTTATATTTCTGACAAAAATAGAACTATCAAGAAAGAAACTAGACTGTCAGCAGAGGTCTCATATCCAAATAAAGATAAAAAGTTTTATTCTTTTTTGCCAGGCAAGAACTTTTAAGCCATATTTTGAATAATGCCTTAAAGTTTAAACCGCTATAGCTAACAACGCTGTAATTGATAGTTACTGTATAGGCTGCAACTTTTATGTTTTGCTGTATACTGCAGTATACTGTATGCATTCACTTAAATTTTACTATAAAATGACTGACAACTCACAATAATAGGCTTCTCACTATCTGTAGTACTTACATTATTTGGTTATATTGTGGCCTCCGTGGCCAAGTGGTAAAGCTCACAACTTTGATTTGTAACGATGTGGGTTCGAGGCCCGCCACGACTGGAGGGTGGAAGGGGCATTCACTCAGAGTACCGATCACGTTTACCAAACCAAGAAGGCACCATCATAGCCCTTAATAAAATGAGAGTCCGTGATGAAATGCCGATCACAGTTTATGAGTAAGAAAGGAGAAATTGATAAATTAATATATATATATATATATATATATATATATATATATATATATATATATATATATATATATATATATATATATATATATATATATATATATATATATATATATATATATATATATATATATATATTAATTTATCAATTTCTCCTTTCCTACTCATAAACTGTGATCGGTTTTTCATCACGGACTCTCATTTTTATTAAGGGCTATGATGGTGTCTTCTTGGTTTTGGTAAACGTAACCGGTACCCTGAGTGAATGCCCCTTCCACCTTTCAGCCGTGGCGGGCCTCGAACCCACAACCTTACAAATCATAGATTCATAGTCATAGATTTTATTGCCAAATATTTAGAATACATACATGAATAAATATGTACATTATATTCAGAGGCACTAGCCTGCTGAGCAAGAGCTCCTTGGCAGGCAGTTTAATATACATTCCACATAATTTAAAGTATGACGGCAATAGTTAACAAAGGCTCCAATATAGCAATCTCATACTTATCTTGTAATAAAACAAAACAGTAGCCTGACCTTAACCTGGACATAATGATACACCAATACTGTATTAATTATTAATCAACAGCTGCTTGATTTTGCCTAGTAAATAAATGCTGTTTGAGTTTCTTTTTAAATAAAGTTGTGCCAGTTATTGTTTTTAAATCTTCTGGTAATGCATTCCAATATTTTGGGCCAAAACAGTGAAAAGAAAATTTGTACAAGGTTGTTCTCGGCAGTGGACATATCAAATTTATATTGTTACCTCTGGTTCCATGGTTGTGTTGAATAAATCTAAACAATTTTCTGTTACCATTAACATCACTATCTATAATAATAAGACAGAAATATTGTATCAAGTTGTGAGATTTACCACTTGGCCACGGCGGCCACAAACTATCTATCTATATATATATATATATATATATATATATATATATATATATATATATATATATATATATATATATATATATATATATATATATATATATATATATATATATATATATATATATATATATATATATATATATATATATATATATATATATATATATATATATATACATATATATATATATATATATATATATATATATATATATATATATATATATATATATATATATATATACACGTGTGTGAGTGTGTAGTAACCTAATTGTACTTACCTGATTGTGCTCTCGGGAAAGACCCCCAAGCTCGTAACTTCCCATCTCCTGATCGGTTCCATTTTGTACTTAGTGATACTCATCATGCTTTTCCTTAAAACTATGGATTAAGTTAGCATCAATTACCTCCTCGCTTAGCCAATTCTAATTATCAACTACTCTTACACTAAAAAAAAAAAAAAAACTTACATCCTGCAAAGAAGTTTTCTTACAAAGCTCCAAACTATGACCTCTACTTCTAGTGCCAGCCATATCAAAATGTCGATACTTTTCCACGCTGTAATTACATATTTGTAATTATCTAATTGTGCTTACGACAAAGAGCCTCAAGCTTGTAACTTTCCTTCTCTTCTTCGGTTCCATTATATACTTAGTGATACTTATCGTACCTGTCCTCAAAATTATGGATTGACTTAGCATGAACTACCTCCTCGCTTAACCAATTCCAGTTATCACTTACTCTTACACTAAAAAAGTACTTCCTTACATCCTGCAAAGAAGACTTCTTACGAAGCTATGACCTCTAGTTCTAGAGCCAGCCATATCAAAATATCGATCCCTATCCACTCTGTCATAACCTTGAAAGAATTTAAAAACCGTTACCATATTCCACCTCATTCTTCTAGCTTCCAGTGATGGTAAGTCTACTTCCCTCAGCCTCTCATTATAGCTGAGAATGCGTATTTCTGGCACCAGTTTCGTGGCATATATCTGGACTTTTTCTTGCTTAACTACGTACTTTTTCAAGCGTAAATTCTAAGAGAGGGCTGCATATTGAAGCTTTGGCCTCACATAGGTTACATAAATATTTCTGAACATTTCCTTGTCCTTGTGCCTGAAGGCTACCCTTACATTTGTTAAGAAAGTATATGCTGCCTTTACTATGTCATTTATATGCATTGCTGGAGACAAATCGGCCAGTATGTTTACTCCTAGATTTCTCATTCTCTGTCTCTTGAAGTTCTGCTCCTGCCACTAAGTAGTCAAGCTTGGGCCTTCTTGCACTTGTACCCATTCTCATTACCTTACATTTTGAAGTATTGAATTTCATTAATTACTTTTCTGACCCACTCATGCAGACTATTCAGATCTTCCTGAAGTTCTCTACCATTTTTCTAGTCTCTTATTTTCTTGATAATCTATGCATCATCTTCAAACATATTCATGAATGAATTTACAAAATGTGGAAGGTCATTTACATATACAAGGAACAAAAGCGGCCCTAAAACTGAATCCTCTGGAACTCCATTACTAGCTCTTCACCATTCAGACACTGAGTGTCTTACTCTAACCCTCTGTTCCCTTCTATCTAGGTAAGTTTTTATATATTGCAACTTCATAGCCATCTATTTTTGCTATTGCTTGCAGCTTTTTAATAACTCTCCCTTGTGGGACTGTATAAAATGCCTTCAGGATATCTAGGAATATGCAATCTGCCCAGCCTTCTCTCTCCTGTAAGATTCAGTTTACCTCATCATAAAATTCTAATAAGTTTGTACCTTGTTTGAAGTCATGTTGTCTCACTGACAAAAAAAAATGAAGGATTCCAAGGGAAGAGAGATGTGTTTCCCTAGTAGTTTCTCTATAACTTTGCAAGCTATGCTGGTCAAGGAAACAGGTCTGTTTTTTGAGCCGTATCCCTTCTTCCCTTTTTGAAGATAAGTACCACGTTCACTTGTTTCCAGCTTCTTGGAATCTCCCCTGACTCCAGCGACTTTTCAAATATAATACTTAGTGCCACTGATATTGATTTAGTGCATTACTTAAGTACATAAGAGGATATATATATCATTAGTACGTGTAGCTTTAAGGGCATAAATACTGGGTCAGAGAGCATTAGAATAGCTGTTGTATATAACCCACCAAGGAACTAATATAGGCTAGAAGCTTATGAGGAAAGTCATATAGTTACTATTAAAGTCATAAATTCAGTTGTTAACACGGCATGGAGAGAAAATGTAGGATTTTGATTAAGGGAGATTTTAATCATAGAGAGAGAGATTGGATATATCTTGACCCACACAGTGGTGAGGACTCATTCGGGGCAGAATTCCTAGATTGCATGTAAGGGATTTTCCTACACTAACATGTACTGGAACCAACGAGGGCGAGGGGTGGGGATGAGCCATCGCTGCTTGATCTAGTATTCACCGATAATGTATTGGATATTGAAAAAATTGAGTATGAACCACCAAGAGTGACCACTGTGCGTTGTTGATGGAGTATATCATAGATGTTCTGCCTGAAAGTAGAGGCACTGAGGACATGAGAAGGAACTATCCAAAAGGAGATTACATCAAAATTAATGAGCTTTTTGCAGTTATTGATTGGAGGACCTTATTTAACAACAAATCTGTACAAGAAATGTATGACATCTTTTGTGATGAATATGGGAAGATAGTAGATTGTTGCATACCTTACACCAAAATAGGTGTTATTCATGCCGGAGAAAAATGATTCAATAATGAGTGTAAGAGAGCTAAGGAGTGGAGAAACAATTGCTGGAAAAGATATAGGAGGAGAAAAAGTATAAATACCTGGCAGACTTATAAAAGAGCAAGAAATTATTACCTAAGTAAAAGAAGAGAGGCAGAGAGAGACTATAAAAGGGATAGCACCAGGAAGGCTAAAGAAACTCCCAAACTTTTCCACAAATTTATCAGAGGAAATTTGAAAATCTGAAGGTCAAAGAACAGGTTTTAAAGCTAAGTAGAGTGGATGGAAGCATCACTGAGACGGATGAAGAGATCTGCGAAAAATTGAACAAGAAGTTTCAGTCAGTATTTATCACAGAAAATACCCCTCCCCCACAGATTTCAGGGATAGGAGCTCATGGGCCGGTATTAAAGAACATTATCTTTTCAACCTCTGTGGTATGCAAAGCTACAGGTCCTGATGATATATATCCTCTTTTGTACTTAAGAAATGCACTAAATCAATATCGGCGGCACTATGCGTTATATTTGAAAGGTTGCTGGAATCTGGGAAGATTTCAAGATGCTGGAAACAAGCTAACGTGGTACCTATCTTCAAAAAGGGAAGGAGGGATACGCCTCTAAAAAATAGACCTGTATCTTTGACCAGCATAGTTTGCAGGGATATGGAGAAACTACTAAGGAAGCACATCTCTCTTCACTTGAAATCCTTCAACCTTTTGTCAGTGAGACAACATGGCTTCAAAGAAGGTATATCAACAGTAACAAACTTATTAGAAGTTTATGATGAGGTAAGCCAAATCTTACAGGAAATAGAGGGCTGGTCACATTGCATATTCCTAGACTTCCAGAAGGTATCTGATACGGTTCCACACGGCAGGCTGATTAAGAAGCTGCAATCAATAGCAAAAAAAAGGTGGAAATATCTTGCAATAGATAAAAACTTACTTAAAAGGAAGTGAACATAGGGCTAGAGTAAGACACACAATGTCTGATTGGAGAAGGGTTAGTATAGCAGTACCAGAGGGTTCAGTTTTAGGGCCATTTTTGTTCCTTGTATATGTAAATGACCTTCCACATTTTGTAAAGTCATTCAAGAATATGTTTGCAGATAAAAGTGGCTAATGAAATTCAGTACTTCAAAATGTAAGGTAACGAGAATGGGTACAAGTGCAAGAAGATCCAAGATTAACTACTCAATGGCAGGAGCAGAACTTCAAGAGACAGAGAATGAGAGAGATCTAGGAGTAAACATATTGGCCGA